TCATGTATGTGCCTCTCCATTTCCCTGTCTCAAATTCTTTATTGTGTACAAATTGTGTAAATATATTTATTTTGTCCCTATTGTACATTGTATAAATTAATTGTGCTTTTTTCACTTATTAAATCTATATAATTTTGTTAATTTGTGTGACTCCTCTTTATACACGCACTCTATCCATTTTTCCTTGTCATAATGTCAGCAATAAATTTATGAACAACGACAAATTGCCATCTGCTGGTCAAAAACACTGTTCCCATTTATGAGGTGACTAGATTTCTGGGAGTCATTTTCAGTGATCAAAATGCATATAAAACAGGGACTTTTAATTTGTATGTTATGGGTTCCATATAATATTTATGATGATGTTTGCTGGACTGACTAAACTGGTTTCACTAAGTATATGAAACAGTATTCTGTTATAACTTGGCATAAACACAATGTAAAAATAAATACGAGAACATAATATGTTTATAAACATAATAAGATGTATTTAACATGTATTTTTAAAACATTTTCTAATTGTTTTAATATTTTCACAAACTGTGAATATTTAATGAATGTACTGTGAATATGGACTATAGTCATTTTTTTTTAAATGTTATTTTATGTTTGTTTTATGTTCACTAGGCTTCTTTTGCATCTTAGATGCATTTTGAGAACCAAGGATGTGTTTTTGCAAACGTAGGTGCTCTTCGGTCATTTCTGACAGAATATTTTCTGTTTTGAATTTTTAAAAATCACAGCTTCATCGGAATGTTAGGAAACTTGGTGACTTTTATGGCATTATGTATGTGAACACACAAAAAAATTTAGGTCATGATCCGGGCATGCCAAGTGGTCTTAAAAAAATAGTCACACTTGTGGTCTTTGGTCAAAAATGACCCCCATAGGAAATGAATGGGAAATTGACAAAAACACAAAAATTCACAAATTTATATTGAAAATATAATTAAAAATATTATTTAAAAAATCAGGTAGATTTAGCTGGCATGCTTTGTGTAACATTTATGTAGTGGCTTTCCTATACGCCCAGGAAATGTAGAAGGGTGCACTCTAAAAAATGCTGGGTTGTTTTAACCCAACTTTGGGTCAAATATGGACTAACCCAGCCGTTGGGTTAAATTTTTACATTACATTTTTAACCCAACATTTCGGGTTTGTCCATATTTGACCCAAAATTGGGTTAAAACAACCCAGCATTTTTTAGAGTGTGTTCTTCAAACAAAGTTAAAATAATGTCCACACAGCGGTATCCGTTTGAACAGTTTGTTGTCCATTTAATGGGATGTATGTTATAGAGTTTAAAAGCATTGTTTCTATGATAAGAACCATATATTCCCATCACCCGTCCCTTCCTGATGGATTCAACCCAGTTTAGAAGTTGAAATATCATGTGATTGAACATATGTGGCTTTCACCTGCGCCACTGGTGCACACCGCCATCTAGTGGTGGAATAAATTACATTTCGCTCCTACAAATTAATTTGATAACACAGTAAAGCAAAGGGCTAATCATAATAAAAACCGTAATCGGTCCGACGTTGTAGAGAGCGATACATCGACTAGTAGAGGATGAGTGAGTGGAGGCGGGGCTCATTGGAATATTCATGGGATACTAAATGAAGTAAGGATAGAGTTACATTCGAGCTTTAAGGCATGAATAATTTTATTCCACAGGAGAACAACGTTTAAATATGTCATTTTGGTGATCAAAGATGAGTTTTAAGGGATAAAATTATTGACCGTACTTCATTTAGCCTAAATGGTGTGGACATTAATAGTGAAAAGTTCTTCATAATATTTGTGTTAGTAATTAGCTATAGGCTACTTTATCAACATGTCAATATGATTAAAATAGCTAATTTTGTTCAGATCAGCCAGAAATTATTATTTTTTTAATTTTACCATTCCAAAAAAATGTGTGAAGATTATTACTTCTTGATGATTTTACCAAAGATGTTATAGCAAAAAAATGCATCTGTTAATTTTATGAAGACTCTTGTGATTTTATTTGGTACATTTCATATTCATAAAAGTAAAAAAATTAAGTAATATTATTATTGTTAAGTAATATTATATTATGTGTGTGTGTATATATATATATATATATCACGGGCTCTATATATATATTCCTGTATTGTAAACTGAATCCTTTTAGCTGTGTTATGTTTTTGTATGTCTGTTATAGCTAGTTATGAATGTTTTACTATGTCTTCATGTTAAAGTAAAGGAGCTCAACCAAGTATCACTGTAACTCGCACATCCCCTCTGTTGGTGAAAAAGGATCATAACTACACGACTGTTCTGACAACCAGCAGTCTGATATAAGTCGGGCTTTCTGCACTGTATTTTTTGGTTTTGTTTGAAGACGCTGTAAAATGCGGACATTTCCTGGGACAGGACTCACAAAACCGGGACTTTGACCTCTGGTCTAACATCTAACACCATTATTATTTACATATTATTACACTATAGCCTACACTGTAAAAAATATTTTCAAGATTTGTTATCACAACATTTTTTTCTTTTGTCAAATCAACTTAAAATTTATTTAGTTCAGATAACTTATTATTTTGAGTTTCTGTTGATTAAATCAATCTCCTTCATTGTCTTAACTCACTTTTTCCAGTTCAATCAACTTAAAATTTTAAGGCAACCAGGTTACTTAATTTTTTTAAGTTAAACCAACAATATTTTTTTACAGTGTATAGGCCATATATTTGTTTTATGCCTCACATGATATATTACCAGAAACCACGTGATCGGACCCGATTTCCGATCACTTGATCGGATCGGGACATCCCTACTTTTTTGTTTTTGTTTACAGAAACACATAAATGAAAGTTTTCATTGGCCAAAAAGCTACAACAACAATAGTTTAATAATCAATTTATTTAATAATCAACACTCAAGTGCAAATGGAATTGTAGAATTAATTTAAACATTTAAACTGCACATAAGGCAGTTCTATATTAACTATTTAATGATACGTTCTACTCTAATTCATTGTTGAAATGTAAACATTTAGACACGGCTGTAATAACATGTTTTATTGGCAGATTTATTAAAACATACATTAAATTATAAAGACAACAGTTTAAGTAAAAAATATAATAAATATGAAATAGAGCATATATTTATCAAAATGCTCGTCTCTATAGAGTAGTGCTGTGCAACATAGCTAAAAAATCTATCACGTTATAATGTTTCATTTCTTTCTTTTTGTTAAAGAGAAGTAGAAAAGTTCTTTATGTGTTAAAAAGTGTGTGTTAAAACAAACTCTTGAACTTAAAATGTTACAAAATGTGTGCAATAAAAAAAAGTAAATGTAAACGTAGAACAATGGCAAACTTTGAGGTAGATCAGCAACTGTAATAAGTAGGGGTGTAAGTTCACAAAATTCACAGTTCGGTTTGATAGGACACAGTGGTGTCACGGTTCGTACGTTTTCCACTGTAGAAACTGACTGAGCGATTACATGATGTCTATATTGTGCTGTAACAAGTAGTAAAGTGGTAGAGATTCATTTTCAGTTATGGACGAAATAGTTTTGTAGGGCCAAAATCAAGGACCATAGCGGTGACATTTCATTAGCGCTTCTCAGGTGACACGTATTAAAGGGATAGTTCACCCAAAAATCTGTCATAAATCACTCGCCCTCATGACGGTCCAAATAAAAGATCTTCAGAATAAAAGCCTAAATTCAAAGCGATTCAGTCTTTTCAGAAAAGTTTTGGACTAAACCGCTCATCGATCTCTTTATGAACTTTTTAAAGTGTCAAAGTGGTAGTTGTGAATTTTAACTTTTGGATGAATTATCCCTTTAAATGTGTCAGATCTCACTAAAAAAATACTTCATTATCGTGAAAGACAATCATGATGATTTAGTTTTCGTTCTTCAACAGATCATGACACGCCTCAAAGGAGATCTGATGGTTTCCAGTTATTATTGAGGCAGCAAGTGACCGCATCATTGAGCCATCCTTCTCTCCATGGTCATCACCCGTAGTCCTCGTCCCCAGGTTCTGTGTGGCCTATAGGAGACTTAACAGAAACACCATACCTGAAGCTTATCCAATGCCGCTTATTCATGATATCCTGGAATCCATGGATGGCGCCACCTGGTTCAGCACATTGGATTTGCAGTCAGGATACTGGCAGGTGGATCTGGAGGAAGAGAGTAAAGAGAAAACCGCATTTATCACCAACCAGGGGCTATTCCAATCCCGTTCCATGCCGGCTCAGAAATGCTGCATTCCCTTCCCGAGGCTTATGGAGAAGGTCCTGGCAAATTCTGTAGCAAGACCCACCTGTATTGATGCAGCCTGACCTCAACCAACCTCTTCAGGTGAATACTGATGCCAGTGATGTGGGACTGAGAGCTATTCTCACCCAGCAAACACCTGAGGGGGAAAGAGCAATAGCATATGCTTCAAGGACATTACGAGGAGCAGAACTAAATTACTCCACATCAGGAAAAGAGTGTCTGGCTGTGGTCTGGGTGGTGGAAAAATAGAGGAATTACCTTGATGGGAGGCAGTTTGATATCTACAGCGACCAATAGCCTTCAATAGTTCCCAAACCTCCTCTCAATTGACCCGGCGGACTCTTAGGTTGCAGCGGTTCATCTTGCTAATACATCACTGGAAAGGATGTCTCAACCTGGGTCCCGATGCCTCGTCACGAGTCTGTCAGTCTGTGGAAGGAGACGATGTGCACTGTTTGTTTGTTCTGTTTTTTTTATGATACAGAATTACAAGTGAATTACAATCTCTGTGGAGTTGAAGATCGAACCAGAGAATGTCTAATATGGGGTAGTGTTGTCACGATACTAGAATTTATAACTTTGATACGATACCTTGAAAAATATCGATATTTTTGACAACACTAGTATGGGGAGAACTGGTTGCAGTTCCAGTCTGTTTACATATGAGGGCGATCACATAAAGAAAATGGAGGTCTAGTGAGTTATACCCCTTAAAATACACTTTTCTCAGGATATCATTTTTTGTCTAGTAATTTGAAACTTGTATTCGAAAGGAGATGCAAAGCAATTACACATCGCTTGGTGTTATATTTTTTTAGAGTCACTTTTTGCTTTAAATAATGTCAATGACGTCATACATGTCGTACGCCGTAATAATGCGTAAGGCGCCGCCATAATGCAGAGGGCAACTTGAGAATTGAGAAAATGCCTGTTTCGTGCGCTGCTCAGCCAATTGAAAACAGGTCGCGAGGAATTAACTTTCACAAAAAAGACTGAACAATTGTTTCTGGTTGTATTTGGTCATGACGCAATTATTAATAGTAACGTTCAAAGGAGAAAGTCTATGAAATTTTTTGATCACAATATTTTGACACACGAAATTAAGTTTTAATAGATTTTCTGTGGACAATGTAGTTGTTTAAAAGTCAAATCTATGGTTTATTTATAAAGAGTTTTAAAAAATCCTGAACAGCGGGTGGCAAGTCTTTCTGTAGAAGGTCTTCAGATCTTTCTTCATAAAATCTATATTCGAAGTACTTAAACCACTTGTGGAGACAGACAACATCCAAATCAAGCCGCTTCGCTGGGTTCCTTTGCAGGAGAGAGCAAAGTAATTTGCAGCATTCTGTGAAGAAAGAGAAGAGAAGTTTATTATTACCTTAAACTTCACACTCGCTCTCTTTGATTAAGAGTCTAAGCTGAAATATCTAAATATTACTGCATTACCCACACAACCATTTATATTAATTTGTTCTACTTTGTATGATTTAGAATTGCAAGTGATCTTTGCTGAAATGTAGATCTAACCTTGTGATACGCCATCTCTTGTCCAGATGTTGTCATTTAGCATATCCAAGTCTTCTGAAGATGGAAATTCTCCACACACCAGTGTAAACATCAGGACCCCGAGTGACCACACTGTCGCTGGTTTGCCGTGATAAAAGCCGTATGATTCATATTCAGGGGGGCAGTACTCTTCGGTGCCTGCAAAAAAGAGAAAAAAGTATTTATTAGCATGCAAGAAATGATTTGATGCTATTGATTCACAATGGTGGATCCCATTACATGATACTTTGTAAGACCTTGACGGCTTCTGGCCCGTCATCTAAGTTTGAGACCCACATTACAGCTCTGAGGAATAATACAAACCAGCAAAGGACGTGTATCCCGCATCGGTCAGGATTTCTCCGCATCCAAAGTCAATCAACTTGACATCCAGCGTCTCCGGGTTGATCAGGAGGTTTTCCAGTTTTATGTCGCGATGCAACACTCCACGTTGGCAGCATGTTTGAGCCGCGACTGCTGCCTGATGCATGATGACCTTTGCCACGTTCTCGTCGATGTAGTAGTCGTGCCGGTCCAGATATTCGATCAGGCTCTCGCAGGGTGTAGGGAACTCCAGAACCATGATGTACCGATTTGGCTCTTCGTCCCAGTCCAGAAGCTGGATGATCTGGGGAACCCTGGGGCCTTTGTTGGCGAGAATTTGCAGACCGATCTCCAGAGGAACGGGTTCAGGATTATCCTCCTAGAAGAAAGACAATTCTTATGATCTTATACTGTACATGGAGAAAAGATGTCGAACACTACTAAACTACAGACAATAGCAGTTTGTCCATTGAAAAATGAACTGAGAGAAACAGAGTACTTACAATGTTGATCCACTCAATACCCTCGGTATCAGCGAATTTCAGCGCCACCTAATCAACAAAACAAAAAAATGGATTTGAGTTTTTTATTTCCAATGTGTGTGCAGTTCATATTTCAATTCTAATCATGTAGAGCAAGTCTAACAATTTAAACAGGTCTGAGAGGTCAGGTGCTCTAAGAAGTGAACATAAGATACACTGAGAATGCTTGAAAAGAAGAGTTATTCGAATATACGATCGTGCAAGAACACTTTGATAGATAATGCAAGTAAATTAAATGATACCTTGAGGCCATCCTTCAAGCGAGTCCCGGCGTAAACGCTTCCAAATCCTCCTTCCCCGAGCTTCCTGCCGACTTTATAGCTCCAGCAACCGACGTCTGTTAAAAGAAACATAGAAGAGTTGACATGAAAACTGCTTTTTGCCTGAGTTGACATGAGTAAAGACAGATATAATATCACAACACAAGTTTGTCTGTATTGTGTTGTGTCGGAGTCATGACAGTCAACTTACAGATAATCTCATTCTCAGAGACAGTGTCTACTGTCGGTGCGACATGGGGGCCATCATCTTCCCAGACTGACGTGGCACAGTCTGGAACTGGGGAGCCATCATCTTCCCAGACTGATGAGGCACAGTCTGGAACTGGGGGGCCATCATCTTCCCAGTCTGGAGGGCCATCATCTTCCCAGTCTGATGAGGCACAGTCTGGAACTGGGGGGCCATCATCTTCCCAGTCTGGAGGGCCATCATCTTCCCAGTCTGACGTGGCACAGACTGGAACATCAACACAACAGTCAGCCGTTTCCAATCCTGGAGCTGATGTGGTGCTGACTGGGGCCTGGGGGACGTCCACACTGGAGTCTGCCACATGTCGGGCTGGAACTCGACGGACGTTGGCTCTATAGGTGGCCACATCTAGGACAGGAACTCCATAGTCAGATGTGGCACAGGCTGTAGGTTGGAGGACGTCAAGAATCGAGACAGAGCTCAAAGCGTTGAGGACGTCGGCAGACCATTCTGACGAATCTCCCACTAAGTCCTGGAAGGCGTCTTCACTCCACTCGTCATCGACTTCAGCATGACCTGGTTCCTCTGCAACGCTGAGGATTTCAGCCTCAATGGTACGGGGAACAAGCTGAGAAGTCTGATCTAAAGAGGGAAATGATAAAACAAAAGATGGTTTTAATGAAATTCCATTAATAAAAGATTAACCAAAACCATATTCATAACTAGACATTAATATTGGTGCAGCTAATGTAATTAATGAAGCGAGTTTTCGGGGGCATTCACACAGGTCTAATTCGTGCATTCTGCTTCCTCAGTTGTCGGTCAGTGAGAACAGGCGAGAATGTTCTGTTCTCTGTTTAAGTTCAAATTAAAAATACTTCAAATTTCAAAACATACACCAAGTCCCCTGCATTAAATTTAATATAGTTGTGTGTGTAAATTTTAATTTGGCCATCCAGATGTTGCTTGGTAACCCTTTAGGCAATCATGCATGCAAATGTAGAATTCATTGATTTTTCATCTGATTAGCACAACATCTTCATTTTCAGACAATGAATTTGGCCAACTGGGCATAATTTGTAATAATTTATAATTTGTGAGCAATTTCACATTCAATAAAATTTGAGGTAATACATTTGATTGTCTGTTAAAATGCATTCACATATCTGTCATCAAAGATGTGTAGTTTGCATTATATTTCAAGCATATTATGTTACTGAATTCTCTAGTAAAAGTTTTTATTATTTATAAGACTTTAAAAACAGAACTTTACATATTCTACATCATGTCTGGTCCTTTTACTTACCTTGACTGGAGCTGGTCTTGATGGTTTTTGCCTTCCTCCTCTTGCCGTTCTCCTTTACGTGTAAATTGTCCACACTGTCAGAATCATGCGCACGACAATTAACACAAGAAAAGTTTGCTCCCATTTTGAAATGCTAAATAATTACACTGCAATAAATGCCAGTAGAAAATTATCAGCAAAGCAATGAAGAGAATGTTTGAAAGTCTGTGAAATTCAGCTTTTATTCGACCAGTACTCGACTGTGACGTCACGTTCTATAGAACATTCCAGACATTCCACAGCTGCACGTTGTGCGACACGTGCCACTGTCACTCTATGGGGGGGGGGGGGGGGGTTGCAGGTTGTAAGTCACGTGCAACCGTCACTCTATGGGGGGGGGGGGGGGGGGGGCTGCAGGTTGTGCGTCACGGGCCACCGTCAGTCTATGGGCGGGGCTTATGCGTAACTGAAAATTCGATGCGTCTATGAAAACACTAAAATAAACACTGAGATACTTTCACTCAAATACACAGGTTTAATCGGATTTAATGTAAACTCTTTTTAATAATGATGTCTAGCCTGAAAAGAGAGACACAATTAAAAGATAGCGATCTCGATTCAAACAAACACACAATCTACTTTAACAACTAAACATTTGACAAGGTTTTGGTCTAAAACATTTGACAACGACTAAACATTTGACAAAAATTGAACATTAAGGTAATATAGGGCTACTACGATCACAGAGCGATCGAACATTCAAATCTGCATTTGTGCTGCCACTGAATAAAGCCTGGTTATTACGTCAAACACTGAACTTTTGGTTGATTAAACCAAAACTTACTTACTCGACGTATAGGTTTAAAATTAAATCACAGACTGTAAAAAAGTTTAAATACACGTCCGTTCGGGAATAACATCAGCTGAGCCAACCTAGTTCACGGTTAACGGACTTCAAGAAAAAGTGCGCCGTTTTACTCCTTTATTCTTCTTCTTTATTTAATGCCAATTTACCTGGTAAATATATCGCCATGTACCTTTGGTGGTTTATCAAGTTTTCAATCCTTTCGTTTAATAATCTTTAATCACCGTGTTTAATGCTAATTACACTGGTAGCTCGCTCGCGAGCCACCTGTTGGAGACCCCTGGTCTAAAGTGTTTCATCGCCATCTAACGGCCTGACAGCAGAATACAGCGTTTGAGCATACACTGGAGCCTTATATGGGTTGTTCCTGATGCGTCCAATTGGGAGAGAAGGATATACGGCGAAATATCATAAAACGACGCTGGAAACAAACCGTCCCGACTTTTACTAATTTTTAGGTATTTCAGTTCAGTTCAGATACCTTTATTAGTCCCCAAGGGGCAATTCAGCTTTACAGTCAACCCATCTATAATTTAGTTAAAATGCATTAACACACAATGAATAAAAGAAATAAATACTCACATCCACATATTTACTCACTAGTTTACCATCCAGTATCACACACACCCACACACATTCACCTGCCATTGACTAAACAGAGCAGTGGAAAGCAAGAACCAATTCCATATATTTATGTATTTTCGTTTAGAAGTCTTATAGCAGAAGGAATGAATGAGTTAGCATAGCGGTTAGTTTTCCGTTTTGGCACATAATACCGCCGACCTGACTGCATGACAACAAATTCTTCACTGAGTGCATGATCTGGTTGACAAAGTATTCTTTCTGCCTTTTTGACAGCTCGTGTCAGTCCAGTCGTCCAGTGATTTTTGAGCATAACTTAACAATGTTGGTCAAACTTTTGGAAAGAAAATGTTAGTAGACTCTCAATGAAGGCCTGATAGAATGAACATAAAATTCTTTTACAGACCCCAAAAGAGTTAAGCTTCCTCAGTAAGTATATTCTTTGGTTTACTCTCTTAATAATGCTATCAGTGTTCTCACTGAATTTCAGTTGTGAGTCAAACACTGTGCCCAAGTACTTATATGTTTGAACTATTTGAACATTTTCATTGACTTGATTTCAGTTCTTCACTATGCTTCCTAAAATCTATGACTACTTCTTTAGTTTTTGACACATTTAAGTCAAGGAAGCTATCCTCACACCATCTGACAAGTTCCATGAGGGCATTATTGTGATCAGATTGGTTGCCCTGTAATAGGGACATCAGGCCTGTGTCGTCTGAGAACTTTACCAAATAGCTGTTCTCCCAAGATGACCTGCAGTTGTCGGTGTATAATATAAACAGCAAGGGTGAAAGCACACAGCCCTGAGGAGAGACACGATGACAGATGACATTTCACCATTTACATATACCTGCTGCCTTCTATTTGTTAAAAAATGTAAAACTGATAATAAGATCTGCTCGGGTAACTTAAAATGTGAGGCTAATCGTTCGATTAGGATATGGGGCTGCATTTTGTTAAAAGCTGAACTAAAGTCAGCAAATAAAATTCTTACGTGTGAGGCAGGTTTCTCAAGATGTTTATACACCCTGTCAAGAATGAAAAGCTTTGCATCCTTTACCCCCTTGCCCTCTTGATATGCAAATTGTAATGGATCTAATTTGTCTACAGTTAGGGGGATGATTATGTCCTTTACGATTTTTTCAAGGCATTTCATTATTCAGGGAAGTCAGTGCAATTGGTCTAAATTCATTAAGGTCTTTAGGAGATTTTGTTTTAGGGATGGGTATTACTGTTGATGTTTTCCATATGTCCGGTATGACTCCACTGTCTGCACATTTTGAAAGATAACTGTAAAAATAAGTGTAAAATAAGTAAGTGTAAAAAATTGTTTATTTAAATAAACGTTATAGACAGTGGAGTTATCTGGACTAAAGATTAAAACATCCAGATGTTCAGTTGGGCTTCACTCTTCACTCACAGAAGATATGTTTTTTGTATATTTAAAAAATATGAATACACATAGTTGAATCAGATAGACAAAGTAATGATATTTGACCTATAGGCCTACAGGAAACTGACTGATATATGTTGTTGTGAATTTATATAAAGTTACATTTAGGTATTAACCATATTTAGCCCTTTAGACATAGGCTACAGTACTTTGTAATCATATCTGCTGTATTCACAATTGGTCATCATACAGAACAGTGTCCTACATAACATTTAATGAAGACAAACACCATTAACCATTTTCTAAAATTCCAAGGGCCATTTAAAAGAAAAAGACAATATTTTTGTTCACAAAAAAGCTTATTTATTTACACCATGTATAGGAAGACTCCTGTAGTTGACTCTCCAATGGCTTGCCAATCTTCTTACATTTTATTTTTATCCTCATGTCAAAGTGCTCCCGCTCACTGATCAAAAATAAATTTAAAAAGTAGCTAAAGTTGAATAGTGGTAGAAACAATGGTTATAAAATAATGGCAGGATATCATGGTTGAACATTTTTGGGGGTTCAAAAGATGGGTGTTTATAAAAGTTTATAGATATTTTAATTTTCTTAAGTAGCTAAATAAAACACACACCTGAATGAGATACAAGTTAAAAAGAACTAAAGACAGAGTATAAGGCCTAAATAATTTTGAAAATTGAATAGAAATAAAGTTTATATGGTCTGACTCGCTTATATCTTTTCTAACTGGTCAGACTTACTTTCCCAAACTGACTTGCGTTGTCTGAGCAATGAACGCGTAATACTTCATGCTGTCCACTAGAGGGGGCGACAGGATAAGTCTTTTTCCTGTTTGCATCAGTTTAAATCACTGTCTATGGTTTAATGACAAATAAAAGCATACATTTTATTCATCATAAATAGGCCATAACTGTGTATGAGAACAAGCTTTACATTTCAAGCTGTACAACTATTTAAAACTTGAACCCTGCTTCAAATTTGCCACTCTCTATAGTTTCTTTTAAGATATTGTTATCACAGATTATGAACAGATGGACACAATTCCCATTGGTGTGTTGGGTTTTCATGTTTTATTGGAACTTTCGACACGAAACCACCGTCAGAAAATTGGAAACATAGGTCGCTGGCTAAACGCTAATGCCCAAATGCAAAAATATTGATAGTAATGGGTAGTAAAACTCAATCAAAGTCACGTGTCAGTCATTTTTTACGTGTTTTTTCACATAAATGTCTCTGAAACGAATTGAGATATTTCCACAGATGTATGGGCTCACTCTGAGGACACGTAACAAAAATTGTGTGACTGAGCCTCTTGGTGGCGCTATAACAGAACATAACATGCTATACTTAACGAATGCATTGGTGTAACATTACGAAACTCAGTTTGTGCCATCAGCACCATCCCTTGAAGGAACTCAAAAGATTTCAAGACAGCGCCACCTTTTGGTCAAAGTTTTACCAAAATTTCGAATAATGCTTATAACTTTTGAATAAATCTGCGTATTTTAATGCGACTGGTCTGAAGGTTTTTTCATCGTCACCAAACTCTGACCACGTCACATCAATTTTGTAACTACGCCACCTATTGGTCGAAAGTGATAATCCATTTACTCACATTTTTAGTAAATTGTATGTGATTTTTCAGCCATTTTGCCTAAATTCATCTTTAAATGTCTTCAATTACTCCTTGCTGCAGTTGGTCTTACACATGTTGGTATGTTTTGTTGTCTAATTGTGCTTGGCCCCGGTAATTGCTGCTTGCAGCTATATATATATATATATATATATATGTGTTATATGCGATACATCGACTAGTAGAGGATGAGTGAGTGGAGGCGGGGCTCATTGGAATATTCATGAGCTACTTAATGAAACAAGGATAGAGTTACATTAGAGCTTTAAGGCATGACTAATTTTATTCCACAGGAGAACAACGTTTAAATATGTCATTTTGGTGATCAAAGATGAGTTTTAAGGGATAAAATTATTGACCGTATTCATTTAGCCTAAATGGGGTGGAGATTAACCGTGAAAAGTTCTTCATAATATTTGTGTTAGTAATTAGCTATACTTTATCAACATGTATGGATTTGATTAAAATAGCTTATTTTGTTCAGATCAGCCAGAAAAAAAACATCTTTTTTTAATTTTACCATTCCAAAAAAATGTCTGAAGATTATTACTTCTTGATGATTTTACCAAAGATGTTATTATATAGCATTTAAATTTTTTTTAAAAAAATGCATCTGTTAATTTTATGAAGTCTTGTCATTTTATTAGGTACATTTCATATTCATAAAAGTAAAATTATTAAGTAATATTCTCTTTACAACAAAATTATATATATATATATATATATATATATTCCTGTATTGTAAACTGAATCCTTTAGCTGTGTTATGTTTTTGGATGTCTGTTATCGCTAGTTATGAATGTTTTACTATGTCTTCATGTTAAAGTAAAGGAGCTCAACCAAGTATCACTGTAACTCGCACATCCTCTCTGTTGGTGAAAAAGGATCATAACTACACGACTGTTCTGACAACCAGCAGTCTGATATAAGTCGGCTTTCTGCACTGTATTTTTTGGTTTTGTTTGAAGGCGCTGTAAAATGCGGACATTTCCTGGGACAGGACTCACAAAACCGGGATTTTGACCTCTGGTCTAACATCTAACACCATTATTATTTACATATTATTACAACATAGCCTATAGGCCATATATTTGTTTTATGCCTCACATGATATATTACTTGAAACCACGTGATCGGACCATAACCAAGTTATTTCCAATCACTTGTCTTAATCGGATCGGGACATCCCTACTTTTTTTTTTTTTTTTACAGAAACACCTAAATGAAAGTTTTCATTGGCCAAAAATCTACAACAACAATAGTTTAATAATCAATTACATTTATTTAATAATCAACACTCAAGTGCAAATGGAATTGTTAATTAATTTAAACATTTAAACTGCACATAAGGCAGTTCTATATTAACTATTTAATGATACGTTCTACTCTAATTCATTGTTGAAATGTAAACATTTAGACATGGCTGAAATAACATGTTTTATTGGCAGATTTATTAAAACATACATTAAATGATAAAGACAACAGTGTAAGTAAAAAAATATAATAAATATGAAATAGAGCATATATTTATTAAAATGCTCGTCTCTATAGAGTAGTGCTGTGCGATATAGCTAAAAAATCGATCACGTTATAATGTTTCATTTCTTTCTTTTTGTTAAAGAGAAGTAGAAAAGTTCTTTATGTGTTAAAAAGTATGTGTTAAAACAAACTCTTGAACTTAAAATGTTACAAAATGTGTGCAATAAAAAAAGTAAATGTAAACGTAGAACAATGGCAAACTTTGAGGTAGATCAGCAACTGTAATAAGTAGGGGTGTAAGTTCACAAAATTCACAGTTCGGTTTGATAGGACACAGTGGTGTCACGGTTCGTACGTTTTCCACTGTAGAAACTGACTGAGCGATTACATGATGTCTATATTGTGCTGTAACAAGTAGTAAAGTGGTAGAGATTCATTTTCAATTTTGGACGAAATAGTTTTGTAGGGCCAAAATCAAGGACCATAGCGGTGACATTTAACTAGCGCTTCTCAGGTGACACGTATTAAAGGGATAGTTCACCCAAAAATCTGTCATAAATCACTCGCCCTCATGACGGTCCAAATAAAAGATCAGAATAAAAGCCTAAATTCAAAGCGATTCAGTCTTTTCAGAAAAGTTTTGGACTAAACCGCTCATCGATCTCTTTATGAACTTTTAAAAGTGTCAAAGTGGTAGTTGTGAATTTTAACTTTTGGATGAATTATCCCTTTAAATGTGTCAGGTCTCACTAAAAAAATACTTCATTATCGTGAAAGACAATCATGATGATTTCGTTTTCGTTCTTCAACAGATCATGACACGCCTCAAAGGAGATCTGATGGTTTCCAGTTATTATTGAGCCAGCAAGTGACCGCATCATTGAGCCATCCTTCTCTCCATGGTCATCACCCGTAGTCCTCGTCCCCAGGTTCTGTGTGGCCTATAGGAGACTTAACAGAAACACCATACCTGAAGCTTATCCAATGCCGCTTATTCATGACATCCTGGAATCCATGGATGGCGCCACCTGGTTCAGCACATTGGATTTGCAGTCAGGATACTGGCAGGTGGATCTGGAGGAAGAGAGTAAAGAGAAAACCGCATTTATCACCAACCAGGGGCTATTCCAATCCCGTTCCATGCCGGCTCAGAAATGCTGCATTCCCTTCCAGAGGCTTATGGAGAAGGTCCTGGCAAATTCTGTAGCAAGACCCACCTGTATTGATGCAGCCTGACCTCAACCAACCTCTTCAGGTGAATACTGATGCCAGTGATGTGGGACTGAGAGCTATTCTCACCCAGCAAACACCTGAGGGGGAAAGAGCAATAGCATATGCTTCAAGGACATTACGAGGAGCAGAACTAAATTACTCCACATCAGGAAAAGAGTGTCTGGCTGTGGTCTGGGTGGTGGAAAAATAGAGGAATTACCTTGATGGGAGGCAGTTTGATATCTACAGCGACCAATAGCCTTCAATAGTCCCCAAACCTCCTCTCAATTGACCCGGCGGACTCTTAGGTTGCAGCGGTTCATCTTGCTAATACATCACTGGAAAGGATGTCTCAACCTGGGTCCCGATGCCTCGTCACGAGTCTGTCAGTCTGTGGAAGGAGACGATGTGCACTGTTTGTTTGTTCTGTTTTTTTTATGATACAGAATTACAAGTGAATTACAATCTCTGTGGAGTTGAAGATCGAACCAGAGAATGTCTAATATGGGGTAGTGTTGTCACGATACTAGAATTTATAACTTTGATACGATACCTTGAAAAATATCGATATTTTTGACAACACTAGTATGGGGAGAACTGGTTGCAGTTCCAGTCTGTTTACATATGAGGGCGCTCACATAAAGAAAATGGAGGTCTAGTGAGTTATACCCCTTAAAATACACTTTTCTCAGGATATCATTTTTTGTCTAGTAATTTGAAACTTGTATTCGAAAGGAGATGCAAAGCAATTACACATCGCTTGGTGTTATATTTTTTAGAGTCACTTTTTGCTTTAAATAATGTCAATGACGTCATACATGTCGTACGCCGTAATAATGCGTAAGGCGCCGCCATACGGGCAACTTTCCCATTCCTCTCATAGCGGGAATTGAGAAAAATGCCTGTTTCGTGCGCTGCTCAGCCAATTGAAAACAGGTCGCGAGGAATTAACTTTCACAAAAAAGACTGAACAATTGTTTCTGGTTGTATTTGCTCATGACGCAATTATTAATAGTAACGTTCAAAGGAGAAAGTCTATGAAATTTTTTGATCACAATATTTTGACACGAAATTAAGTTTTTATAGATTTTCTGTGGACAATGTAGTTGTTTAAAAGTCAAATCTATTGTTTATTTATAAAGAGTTTTAAAAAATCCTGAACAGCGGGTGGCAAGTCTTTCTGTAGAAGGTCTTCAGATCTTTCTTCATAAAATCTATATTCGAAGTACTTAAACCACTTGTGGAGACAGACAACATCCAAATCAAGCCGCTTCGCTGGGTTCCTTTGCAGGAGAGAGCAAAGTAATTTGCAGCATTCTGTGAAGAAAGAGAAGAGAAGTTTATTATTACCTTAAACTTCACACTCGCTCTCTTTGATTAAGAGTCTAAGCTGAAATATCTAAATATTACTGCATTACCCACACAACCATTTATATTAATTTGTTCTACTTTGTATGATTTAGAATTGCAAGTGATCTTTGCTGAAATGTAGATCTAACCTTGTGATACGCCATCTCTTGTCCAGATGTTGTCATTTAGCATATCCAAGTCTTCTGAAGATGGAAATTCTCCACACGCCAGTGTAAACATCAGGACCCCGAGTGACCACACTGTCGCTGGTTTGCCGTGATAAAAGCCGTATGATTCATATTCAGGGGGGCAGTACTCTTCGGTGCCTGCAAAAAAGAGAAAAAAGTATTTATTAGCATGCAAGAAATGATTTGATGCTATTGATTCACAATGGTGGATCCCATTACATGATACTTTGTAAGACCTTGACGGCTTCTGGCCCGTCATCTAAGTTTGAGACCCACATTACAGCTCTGAGGAATAATACAAACCAGCAAAGGACGTGTATCCCGCATCGGTCAGGATTTCTCCGCATCCAAAGTCAATCAACTTGACATCCAGCGTCTCCGGGTTGATCAGGAGGTTTTCCAGTTTTATGTCGCGATGCAACACTCCACGTTGGCAGCATGTTTGAGCCGCGACTGCTGCCTGATGCATGATGACCTTTGCCACGTTCTCGTCGATGTAGTAGTCGTGCCGGTCCAGATATTCGATCAGGCTCTCACAGGGTCTAGGGAACTCCAGAACCATGATGTACCGATTTGGCTCTTCGTCCCAGTCCAGAAGCTGGATGATCTGGGGAACCCTGGGGCCTTTGTTGGCGAGAATTTGCAGACCGATCTCCAGAGGAACGGGTTCAGGATTATCCTCCTAGAAGAAAGACAATTCTTATGATCTTATACTGTACATGGAGAAAAGATGTCGAACACTACTAAACTACAGACAATAGCAGTTTGTCCATTGAAAAATGAACTGAGAGAAACAGAGTACTTACAATGTTGATCCACTCAATACCCTCGGTATCAGCGAATTTCAGCGCCACCTAATCAACAAAACAAAAAAATGGATTTGAGTTTTTTATTTCCAATGTGTGTGCAGTTCATATTTCAATTCTAATCATGTAGAGCAAGTCTAACAATTTAAACAGGTCTGAGAGGTCAGGTGCTCTAAGTAGTGAACATAAGATACACTGAGAATGCTTGAAAAGAAGAGTTATTCGAATATACGATCGTGCAAGAACACTTTGATAGATAATGCAAGTAAATTAAATGATACCTTGAGGCCATCCTTCAAGCGAGTCCCGGCGTAAACGCTTCCAAATCCTCCTTCCCCGAGCTTCCTGCCGACTTTATAGCTCCAGCAACCGACGTCTGTTAAAAGAAACATAGAAGAGTTGACATGAAAACTGCTTTTTGCCTCAGTTGACATGAGTAAAGACAGATATAATATCACAACACAAGTTTGTCTGTATTGGGTTGTGTCGGAGTCATGACAGTCAACTTACAGATAATCTCATTCTCAGAGACAGTGTCTACTGTCGGTGCGACATGGGGGCCATCATCTTCCCAGACTGACGTGGTCTGGAACAGCCATCATGGAACACAGTGGGGAGCCATCATCTTCCCAGACTGGATGAGTCTGCACAGTCTGGAACTGGGGGGCCATCATCTTCCCAGTCTGGAGGGCCATCATCTTCCCAGTCTGAACAGTCTGGAACATCATCTTCCCAGTCTGATGAACAGTCTGGAACTGGGGCCATCATCTTCCCAGTCTGGAGGGCCATCATCTTCCCAGTCTGACGTGGCACAGACTGGAACATCAACACAACAGTCAGCCGTTTCCAATCCTGGAGCTGATGTGGTGCTGACTGGGACCTGGGGGACGTCCACACTGGAGTCTGCCACATGTCGGGCTGGAACTCGACGGACGTTGGCTCTATAGGTGGCCACATCTAGGACAGGAACTCCATCAGATGTGGCACAGGCTGTAGGTTGGAGGACGTCAAGAATCGAGACAGAGCTCAAAGCGTTGAGGACGTCGGCAGACCATTCTGACGAATCTCCCACTAAGTCCTGGAAGGCGTCTTCACTCCACTCGTCATCGACTTCAGCATGACCTGGTTCCTCTGCAACGCTGAGGATTTCAGCCTCAATGGTACGGGGAACAAGCTGAGAAGTCTGATCTAAAGAGGGAAATGATAAAACAAAAGATGGTTTTAATGAAATTCCATTAATAAAAGATTAACCAAAACCATATTCATAACTAGACATTAATATTGGTGCAGCTAATGTAATTAATGAAGCGAGTTTTCGGGGGCATTCACACAGGTCTAATTCGTGCGTTCTGCTTCCTCAGTTGTCGGTCAGTGAGAACAGGCGAGAATGTTCTGTTCTCTGTTTAAGTTCAAATTAAAAATACTTCAAATTTCAAAACATACACCAAGTCCCCTGCATTAAATTTAATATAGTTGTGTGTGTAAATTTTAATTTGGCCATCCAGATGTTGCTTGGCAACCCTTTAGGCAATCATGCATGCAAATGTAGAATTCATTGATTTTTCATCTGATTAGCACAACATCTTCATTTTCAGACAATGAATTTGGCCAACTGGGCATAATTTGTAATAATTTATAATTTGTGAACAATTTCACATTCACTAAAATTTGACGTAATACATTTGAATGTCTGTTTAAATGCATTCACATATCTGTCATCAAAGATGTGTAGTTTCCATTATATTTCAAGCATATTATGTTACTGAATTCTCTAGTAAAAGTTTTTATTATTTATAAGACTTTAAAAACAGAACTTTACATATTTTACATCATGTTTGGTCCTTTTACTTACCTTGACTGGAGCTGGTCTTGATGGTTTTTGCCTTCCTCCTCTTGCCGTTCTCCTTTATGTGTAAATTGTCCACACTGTCAGAATCATGCGCACGACAATTAACACAAGAAAAGTTTGCTCCCATTTTGAAATGCTAAATAATTACACTGCAATAAATGCCAGTAGAAAATTATCAGCAAAGCAATGAAGAGAATGTTTGAAAGTCTGTGAAATTCAGCTTTTATTCGACCAGTACTCGACTGTGACGTCACGTTCTATAGAACATTCCAGACATTCCACAGCTGCACGTTGTGCGACACGTGCCACTGTCACTCTATGGGGGGGGGGGGTTGCAGGTTGTAAGTCACGTGCAACCGTCACTCTATGGGGGGGGGGGGGCTGCAGGTTGTGCGTCACGGGCCACCGTCAGTCTATGGGCGGGGCTTATGCGTAACTGAAAATTCGATGCGTCTATGAAAACACTAAAATAAACACTGAGATATACTTTCACTCAAATACACAGGCTTAATCGGATTTAATGTAAACTCTTTTTAATAATGATGTCTAGCCTGAAAAGAGAGACACAATTAAAAGATAGCAATCTCGATTCAAACAAACACACAATCTACTTTAACAACTAAACATTTGACAAGGTTTTGGTCTAAAACATTTGACAACGACTAAACATTTGACAAAAATTGACCATTAAGGTAATATTGAGCTACTACGATCACAGAGCGATCGAACATTCAAATCTGCATTTGTGCTGCCACTGAATAAAGCCTGGTTATTACCGTCAAACACTGAACTTTTGGTTGATTAAACCAAAACTTACTTACTCGACGTATAGGTTTAAAATTAAATCACAGACTGTAAAAAAGTTTAAATACACGTCCGTCCGGGAATAACATCAGCTGAGCCAACCTAGTTCACGGTTAACGGACTTCAAGAAAAAGTGCGCCGTTTTACTCCTTTATTCTTCTTCTTTATTTAATGCCAATTTACCTGGTAAATATATCGCCATGTACCTTTGGTGGTTTATCAAGTTTTCAATCCTTTCGTTTAATAATCTTTAATCACCGTGTTTAATGCTAATTACACTGGTAGCTCGCTCGCGAGCCACCTGTTGGAGACCCCTGGTCTAAAGTGTTTCATCGCCATCTAACGGCCTGACAGCAGAATACAGCGGGGAAATAACATAAAACGACGCTGGAAACAAACACATTAATAACCGTCCCGACTTTTACAAATTTTTAGGTATTTGTTTATTTAAATAAACTTTATAGACAGTGGAGTTATCTGCACTAAGGATTAAAACATCCAGATGTTCAGTTGAGCTTCACTCAGCCTACAGAAGATTTGTTTGTGTAAATCTAAAAAATATTAATATAGTTGAATCAGATGGACAAAGTAATGATTTTTGACCTACTGTAGAATTAATTATTTTTTAAACTGTTTTTATATACAGGAAACTGACTGATATATGTTGTTGTGAATTTATATAAAGTTACATTTAGGTATTAACCATATTTAGACCTTTAGACATACAGTCATGGTCAAAATTGATGGCACCCCTGCAAATATGATCAAAACTGGCTGTAAAAAATAAATCTGCATTGTTTATCCTTTTGATCTTTCATTCAAATAATTTACAAAAATCTAACCTTTTTTAGATTTTTTTTTTTTTGGGGGGGGGGGGGGATTCCTCATATTTAAACCATAATTATTGGCTCCCTGTTATTAAATACTTTTTGCAATCTCCTTTTGCCAAGATAACAGATCTGAGTCTCCTCCTATAATGCCTGATGAGTTTGGAGAACACCTGATCAGAGACCATTCCTCTCTCCCCAGATCCTTCAGATTCCCAACTCATCAGGTCAGGGTCTGGGACGGTCATGGCAGAAGCTTTATTTTGTGCTCAGTTACACATTTTTGTGTTGATATTGATGTTTGTTTTGGATCGTTGTCCTGATGGAAGATCATCCAACCACGGCCTATTATAAGATTTCTAGCAGAAGGCGTCATGTTTTGATTTTTATCTGTTTGTATTTGATCCATAATACCATGTATCTGAATAAGATGTCCAGGACCTCCATCAAATAGGCCCACAACATATAACATCTATCAGTATATTTAACCATAAGCATGGGGTACTCTTCATCTCTGTTTGCACCAAACACATCTGCTGGGTTTGCTGCCAAAAAGCCCTTTTATTTCATTTTATCTGACCACAGAATCCGGTCCCTTTTGAAGATCCAGTCGTGTCTGACACCTGAATATGCTGGAGTTTGTTTTTGGAGGAGCGAGGAGGATTTTTCTTGAAACCCTCCCAAACAACATGTGGTGATGTAGAGGTTGTTTGATAATTTTTTTTTAGGCTTTCTGACCCCCAAGACTCAACTAATCTCTGCAATTGTCCATCTGTGATCCTTGAAGAGTCTTTTGCCACTCAAACTTTCATCCTCACCGTCCATTAAGACAATAGACACAAGTCGTCTTCCTGGCAGAATCGTAACATCTTTGATTATAACTTCTTAATTATTGCCCTGATGGTCAAAATGGGGATTTTCGATTCTTTAGATATTTTCTTACAGCCACTTTGTATTTTGTGAAGCTCGACAATCTTTTGCTGAACATCAGAACCATGGTTTTTGGTTTTACTCATTGTGATGGATTATTCCAATATTATGAAGCTGATTCCTCATATTTAAACTCCTGTGAAACAAGAAGTCAAAGCTGAACAATTTTATGTTCCTAGTCACCCTGGTGTGCTTAAAAATTTTAATATTAATAGGAATATATTCATATAGATATTTTTCTCATAAAAAATTCTAGGGGTGCCAACAATTATGGCCAGCGTGTTTTGGAGAAAAACATTTATTTCATAATGTGATTTACCCCCACTTTCAATTTTTTTTACGTCAATGAAAGGTTAGAATTTTGCCAAGGTTAGAATTTGATTAGAATTTGTTTGAATGAAAGATCAAAAGGATAAATAATGCAGATTTATTTTTTACAGCCTGTTTTGATCATATACCAGGGGTGCCATCAATTTTGACCATGACTGTAGGCTACAGTACTGTGTAATCATATCTGCTGTACTATTCACAATTGGACATAATACATCTACAGAACAGTGTCCTACATAACATTTAATGAAGACAAACACCATTTAACCATTTTCTAAAATTCCAAGGGTTCCATTTAAAAGAAAGAGACAATATTTTTGTTCACAAAAAAGGTTATTTATTTACACCATGTATAGGATGACTCCTGTTGTTGACTCTCCAATGGCTTGCCACTCTTCATAAGTTGTTGTTTTTTATCCTCATGTCAAAGTGCTCCCGCTCACTGATTAAAAAATAAATAAAAAAAGAAGCTAAAGATGAATAGTGGTAGAAACAATGGTTATAAAATAATGGCAGGGTGTCGGCTGAACATTTTTGGTTGTTCAAAAGAGAGATAGAGTTTAGAGACAGAGATTTTAATTTTCTTAAGTAGCTAAAGCAAACACACACCTTAATGAGATAGAAGTTAAAAAGAATTAAAGACAGCTATGATAAAACACACATTAAGTGAACATACATCTTAGTCCAGATCAGTAAGCTATTTTCAGAAAACTGTATGATATATAGAAAATTAGATCGCCTCATTTATAAGAAACAACTTAAACCAAAATCTACATTTAAAGTTTTTAATGTGAGCTTTATAATGCATTATGTTTGTATTAGACACAATATTAGAGTGAGTGAGTGTGCAGTTCAAATCTTTACTTAGAGAGACATATATGCATATACATATATGCATATATGCCTATTATACATTTGTTTGTGTACACACATGCCTCTTATAATTGTGTATCATAAACTGTAATTAACACATTTCCAATATCCACTCTAATGTTGCTCCAGAAACCACGTGGAGTATGCAAAGAAGTAAACTGGGTCTTACCAGAAGATGCAAGGTAAAGACAGACAAGATAAAAATAAAAATTAAATGAATTTTAAAAGTGAGTGAGACAGAGAGAAGACTAGGGTAGCTTCTAAACCTTGCTTGTGCCAGACAGAACATCAACCTGACCGTCAAGTAGCCAGCTGTTATTGTCTCTCGAAATATTAGAGACTTTATTAAATTATAGACCCATCTTTTGAATTGATATATCAAATCTTAGCAAATCGTTTATAAATAATATTGCATCATTACAATACAATCAACAACAATAACTTTAGCAGATACCTCAATTCGTGTCGCTTCTAGAAGGTCTGACGCTATAGGCCAGGTCTAACCTCTGCTTTTACAGACTGATCTCATGAAATGGCGTATGTATGACACGCCAATTCGTATTTCGTGTAAAGTGTGAGATAAGATGTAAGCAGCTAAATAAACATTCCATGATAACTGTTGAAATGTGAAACGACTAACAAAAATAATCAGGAAAACTATTAAAAGTTTGTCTAATTTAGCCAATTTTAATTGAAATATGGGCCTATCATTTACGTAGAATTCATGTAATGTAATAGTTATAGTCGGGCTAACTGTCAATGTCAGGGGAGAACATTAACAAAGCAGTTTGCAGAAGATTAACATTGATTTGAATGCACATAGTGTGAATGAATTTAATAATAGATACCTAGATTTCTTAAATTAGGCCTAAATTATTTCTTAGAAAATGATTCATAAAACATATCAGTTGACATTAACGTTTACTAAAATAAAACTGAAAAGACTAATCAATCAAAGTGCAGCTTTAGGAGGGGAATTAAGAGACAGGGCCAGATAAGGAGACTGAGAGAAGAGTGATGGAGACGATGGAGAGAGAGAAATACCTATATCTACTGCCCACTGACATGTTTAAATATTTGTTAACCAATTTGTTTGGCCAGGGGCAGAGAATTTAGTAGGGACGCTAGGGACATGTCCCTACCAATACCCAGTGACACTGATATCTCCCTAGCAATATTTTTGATCAAAACTTAAAATATATTTATATATTGATTCAAAATCAAACCTAAGCACGCCACTGTGTTTGGCCTTCAGACGTCTTTAAATGCACATAGGCCTATGTCTGAGAAATAAAACTTTTCCCTTGGAGATCCTGATCCCACTTCAAATTTGGGACGTCTGTGATTATAAAACCCTGCCTATGGCCCTGACTTTATGGCATTTCTGTAAATCATAGGCCTACTTGACAGTCATGTCCAAGTTCATTTCCCCCTCACAGCTTTTATTTTAACAGGGTAACCTGTCTGTGAACTATGGCGTGAGTTGTTAAAACAGTTATATGAGTGTATTTTTATTCTATATCTATTGCACTTATATCTGTACCTTTGAATAATACGCAAATGTGCACGAGTATGGCTGTGAGTATGGCCACAAATCCTGAGGACTACAAATCCCAGTAGCTCGATCGGTATTCCATTCACAGCAACCTCTCGCGGAGGCGGGAACCAAATGCTTCTGTTTGTATCTTAAAATAGCAAGCAACCACGGAAGTAAATGCTATATAAATAATCAGTCATCAGTTGCAGAAATGAGCATTTTAGGATGCTGTCTGTCTGTAAAAATGTCGTTTACTTGCATGCTGGATAGAAAAGCGATGTGGCGTCTTGTTGCTTGCCTGTGAGGAAGTGTAGAGTGTAAACGTGTAAACAACAGCCAAAAACACATACGAACAAAACCACCGTCTCATTGTAATGGAATAAAGTGAAACATGTGTCATAAACGGAAAGTTTAACGAGGCCGCTGCACAATTCATGATGTTCGTTAAAGTTGACCGTTATGCGCAGGCACATTCATAGGGCACCTAAAAAGAATAATCTAGGCTAATCCCGCCCCTCTACATTCAACGATTGGACAGTGAAACGAAGGCTTCCGAAAAATCGGTGTGCTATTGGCTGCTTTAGCTGCCTATTCGCGACGTCATCAGGCGTTCGACATATATAAATCACCGAAAGCCCCGTTCCCCTCAGTGTGATTCTGCAGCTCATTAGTTAGTTCATGCGAGTGATTTAGCCGAACAGTTAGGGTTTAGAAAACTATCATTGTGATCAGTACTTCCACACAGCTTTGCTGATATACTAAAATGGGGTTCGTTCGTATATAAGCTTTATTTTTAAGGGGTGTGTGCTCTGAACGTATTGTTTTGAATCTGAATCTGACGTCAGCGGACAGCTGTGTGTATTAATGCACTGGTGTTTTCAGTGCGGGATGTGCAAGGGCAGCTGTCGCTAACACTGACCAAGCTGTTGTGGGTTTTTCTTTCGTCCGCTGGAGAGGGAGGCAGGCATTGGGCTGTGTACCTTTAAGAGAGGGCGGAGAGAGTTAGAGCCCCGGGGCTGTGTGCTGAACACAGTACTGATCCTGTTTAGGTATCTTTTCCTTTTTTCTCTTCTGTTTTTTCGTGTTGATTTTTACTGTGCTATGTATTATTCATAAATGACGCTCGGAGGCGGAGTTTAGACACAGTATCAGTAATAACAGCAGTGTCGAGACGAGAGGAGGAGAACTCGCTGACACTGAAGGTGGGTGGACGTTTTGCCAACGTTGACATAACTTGAACATTTACTTTCTTTATGCACACTTGCCAGATGTTGTTAGGAGCTGACACCAGTTTGACAGGTGTTTCGTCAGGTAACGTTAAGCTTTATGCGTATTTTATGCAACAACATAAAAATAGTCTATAGGTGTTATAATTTTAAGTTATATGAGGGAAACTTCTGTTATAATAACCCATCAGTCCGTTCTTATTAAGGTTTTGTTGTCATCCTTACCAGAACTTTACTTTGCTTTGGGAGTTTTGAAATCCCGATATTTGCTTTTAATATAAAAATACAATTACATGATAGCAAATAGATGGTAAATTTGGATAACTGCTTACATCAACAACCCAAAATCATTAAAGGGATAGTTCACCCAAAAACAAAAATTCTGTCATTAATTACTCGCCCTCATGTCGTTCCAAACCCTTAAGACTTTTGTTCATTTTCGGAAAACATTAAGATATTTGTTATGTAATCTAATGGCTTTCTGTCCCTCCATTGACAGCTACGCAACTACCACTTTGACGGTTCAAAACGTTCATAAAGAGACCGTAAAACCGATTCATTTGAATTGAGTTTAGTCCAAATTTTCTGAAAAGACACGATCGCTTAACACTATATGATGAACAGGTTGAATTTAGGCTTTTATTATGATATCAGCTCAAGCATGTTAGCTTGATTACACAGCACGTTTGAGCTTCTGTTTATGTTCGCCGATCAATGAGCCTCTTTTGAATTTGCACTAAACTGCTCAATTCATATTGATTCGTTTTATGATCTTTTTATGAACCTTTTGGTAATTGCATAGCTGTCAATGGAGGAAGAGAAAGCTCTCAGTCTTATGGGTTGTGAACGAGGGTGAGTAATTAATGACTGAATTTTCATTTTTGGGTGAACTATCCCTTTAAATAAATTCGACCTGGACTAGACAGAATCATTTCAATAAATCTGCCAATTGCACAAAATAGCAAAATACAGAACTATACATCGTCTGACTTAGTAGTCCTTTAGGATTGGATAGCCAAATTGTGAATTCTTCGAAATATGGTATTTATTTATATTTTTATTTGTGGATGATTGCTTTGTGCTTTCATTTCAGATCCATGTCTCCTCCAGCTTCAGCCTGAAAAATGATAGAGATGTCATTTGACAAAGGAACTGTTTTATCCAGTGAGGGCCAAACAGACCCCACTTCCCAACAGCACTCAGAACTTACTAGAAATGTTACCAACATTGACGATCTCCATCCATCGGACAAGACCACAGTTATAAACCTCAGTAAAGAGGGTGGTGAAAAGGCAGGAAGTGATGCATTAGTGGAGCACACAGTGAAAACCAATGCCACAGATAACAATGCTATGAGTGAGAGTGGGGATGTTGGGATCGAATCGTCGACGCAAACCCAAAATGGCACCCAGCAGCCCAAACCTCAACAGCAGAGAGTCAATAAGCGGCGCAACACTATGAGTTATGGATTCAAACACCCTGGTTATGGTAAACGAAGACGCCGTGCCAACTCAGAAAGTGAGTCAGTCCTGCCAACCAATTTCCTGCTGGGCGGGAACATATTTGACCCACTCAACCTCAACAGCCTTCTTGATGAAGAGGTGAACCGGGCTCTTAATGCAGAGACACCCAAGTCCTCGCCCTTGCCTGCCAAAAACAGAGACCCTGTGGAGATCCTGATACCCAGAGATATTACAGACCCCCTCAATCTCAATTGCCTTAGTGCAGGACATAGAAGTCAGTTGACGTCTCCCTTAAAAAGTAGCGGAGGCAGGCGAAGGCATCGAAACAAGCACCATGGAGGATTTGGGAAAGGTTTTGGTGAAGGAGTCGCACAGATCGATTTACTCGAGCCTAACGGCTGTGCAACAGTACAAGATGATGGAAAAACAACGCTCCCCTTGACGCATTTGCACTCGGAGGTTCAACAAACGTGTTCAAGCGTGGCGAACACCCTTGTTCCTGAGGACCAGACGCTATCGGACTCGACTCTTGAGGCTCAGTGTTCAGATAAGCCCAGTTTAACCACAAATGGCGGTGAGGTGAAGGAGAAAGCCATTGACTCCTCAACTGCACCTCCATCTACAAACCCCACCAATGCTCCAACAAACAGGCAGCGCAAACGCAGGCGTGCCGGCAACAGATTGGAGAACCCAGATGAGGTGAGAAGTTGGGGTCAGACTCAGAGATCTGGAAGACCTTCTCAAGCTTTTCACACGCCAGGAACGGGCTCTCGTACGGGAGCAGCAGAAAGACCACAGCAAAATCCGAGCCATTGGAAGCCGCAGTACAACAACAACAACCAGCCGAAAAAGAAGTTTCAGTTCGGCAACTATAATAAATACTATGGTTATCGGAACCCAGGTCTGAGCGAGGATCCTCGTATGCGTGTTTTTAATCCCGAGTGGTTCCGGGGAAGGCGGTGTTGGATCTGGGCTGCAACACCGGTCACCTGACGCTGTCCATCGCCAAAAATTGGCGTCCGGCACGGATCGTGGGCCTGGATATTGATGGAGCATTGATACACGCTGCTCGGCAGAATATACGGCACTATCTCTCTGAGGTCCACACGCAGCAGGCCCGGCGTTCTGGGGAAAATGGGGACGGGAGGGAGAGGATGGAAGAGGATTTGGTGGAAGAAAAGAGTCAGGGGAAGGAGACAGACAAAGAGAGTTTTGTTGTGAAAGAGGACAAATGCACGGCCGGGGAAGGAATGGAAGTTGGTCGAGAAGAGAAAGGGAATCAGCGAGGAAAGAGTGGGAAAATGGAAGATGGAGCATTGGTAAGTCTCCCTGATGGGAAGCATTCATTCCCTGTCTCGCTCCGGATCTCAAGAGGACCCATAGCTGGCCCCCCTTTGCCTGAGACAAACACAAACAGTCTCCCTCCTGGAGATTTCCCTGCTAATGTGACTTTTGTCAAGGTAAGACTGAAAAACGTAATTTTTGCTTTTGCTGATTTTCATTTTAGTTAGAATTCATGTTTATGTGACTGTAAAGCTGTGTCAAGTATGTTTGATGTTCCCTTCTATACACATTGAGCTGAATAATGACACTATTGTCCTCATAATTGAGGGATTTTGCAACATTAACAGTCTTATTTCCTAGTTTTTCACAATCAAGCTGCTTTGAAACAATCTTTACAGTATAAAGTTCCATATAAATAAATGTGTTTTTTTATATGATATGTTGATGCTTTATACGTGCACTCTTCACCTAGAACGCATTTAAACACAATGGCATAGACTGAACATAGCAGCTATAAATGGTACAAGTTGAGTAGTGAAAGTGCAATTTTATAAAGTCTCCTCCTGTTTAAAGCACACAATTGTGTCAAGAATTTATTTTAAAGGGGTGATGAACTGAGAAATAAAATTTTCCTTGAGCTTTTGACATATTATAAGAATATCCTGTAAGTTTCAGAATTGAAAACGTCCTTGTTAGTCCAATAAAAGCTTTCATTGACACCAGGCTCAGCAAACGACTCGTTTTTCAAAATGGGGAACTATGACGTCAAAGAGGATAAAACCCCACCCCCGCAGAAGAAGATCGACGCCTAATTCAACATGGCCGGTTTAGCCCCGCCCACCAATTCACGCATTACACGCAGAGCTAAATGACATAGGACTACCTCGTGATGACAAACCGGATCGAGTTAGCGAGCAATAAATATGCACTGACGAGTGAAACTCATTATAATATGCAAAACTGTTATCCACTCACAGCAGTGGGCGTTTACTTCCAAGTCTTCAAAGCGAGACGCCCACAAAAACCGAGCGTTTTTGAGCTAGGCTCAAAACTAGGGTAGAAAATAGATATAAATTTTGATGTTTTTTAATGTAAAAACCAAGCGAACATCATAAGTTGACCTCAGACAACAATGTAAAAAGCCAGTTCATGACCCCTTTAATCGTTCAAGCTCAAGTGCTGTAGACACACGTGAACTAGTTGTAGCATAGCTAAAGATAAACTGGTATCTTATTATGCTCTAGGTCTTTGGTCTGTCGCCAGGTTCTGCTTGGCTGTGTGTATTTGCTTATGCATACAGTACTCATCCCAAGTACATTAAGCCTTTACCTTGTAAAAAAAAAACGTGTAGACTAACAATAATGGTGTGACCCAAGCCACGTCTAGAGATGAGAGAGTGTCATAGAGATTTGGAGGTGAAAATCCCTGACCAAAATAATTTTCAGGGGAAGGAAATAGGTGTGACACAGTAACTTTTAAAATACTACTGTTAGGCATTCAGCACCTGTCTATCCTGTTTAATAATACTCTCTGTCTAATCCACACAGGGGAACTATGTGCTGGAAAGCGATATGTTGGTGAAGATACAAAAGGAAGAGTATGACGTGATTCTATGTTTGAGCGTGACAAAATGGGTGCACTTGAACTGGGGTGATGCCGGACTCAAGCGGCTCTTCCACAGGATATACAATCACTTGCGGCCAGGAGGACTCTTCATTTTGGAGCCTCAACCCTGGAGCTCCTACAGCAAGAGGAAGAAGCTCACTGTAAGACCCCTTTTTTTGTCAAAACGTCTGGTGTTCTCAGATACGTGTCCCATGACCACTTGTGATCAGATTTCGTTTAGAGGAATGATCTGTGATGCATTTAAATTGCAATTACAGGTGCATAAATAATGTTATGAGATTAACGTTTTGAATATAGGAAAAACTAATAATGAAACTTCCCAGTTGGTGTCACTAAATCATTCAAAATGGCTAATCGTTTTATTTATGAATTGGTCACTGAATCATTCACTCGCCCGGTTCATTTAAAAATGCTTTATTTATTCACATATATTATATTGAACTGATTTTATTGTGAATTGAGCAACAACTGGCAATATACTCTGTATAGTGTGAACTTGTTTGTTGATCTGATGTATGAAATCAGTATCACGTTTGCAATCGTGCTGATATTCGGGAGAAACGTCTCTCTTGCTTTTATGATATTGCTTAACTATAATGCATGTAAAAGAGTCAATCATACAGGGGGACTTTTTTGCCATTTTATCTTGAGTTTTGGGGTATTTTTTATGCGTTTTTAAACTTGACCTTGGAACAGACAAAAATAGTATTTGATGAACTGAGAGGCCAAGAGAAGGGCTTTAAGATCTGAACTCTTAAAGGGATAGTTCACCCAAAAAGGAAAATTACTTGGTCAAGTTGTTCCAAACCTGTACGAGTATCTTATTTTGTGTTCAGCAGAAGAAAGAAACTCTTGTAAATAATGACAAAATGTACATTTTTGTGTGAACTATTCCTTTAAAAGTCATGTAGCAACATTATTAACTAAATGTACACCATGATCTCCAATTAACTTTAATGAGTTGCAATAATCAGTTTGGGAAATGAGGCGTGTAAAACATTCTCCATATCTTTAAATTACAAATATAGGTTTTCCAGGTCTGGGAAACTATAAAACCATGTCCACTGAATTTATCAAATCTTACAACTTAGTCAAATATGTCACACCAAGACAAACTTGAGCTGGAAATGATATGGTTGTAAAGTAAATTTACTTCAAAACATTGTTTTTCTGAAACAAATGCAACAGCCAGATAAGATTGTAGGTTAATGGTTTGTGAGGAAAGTTGCAAAATAAGGCACAATTCAACTGACATGTTTTGATGGAATTTAAAGCTGAAATGGTCAGTTTTAGAAATGTTATTTTAAGACATCTTAAAGGAGTAGTTCACTTTAAAAAAAAAAAATGCTGATAATTTACTCACCCCCATGTCATCCAAGATGTCCATGTCTTTCTTTCTTCAGTCGAAAAGAAATTAACGTTTTTGATGAAAACATTCCAGGATTTTCTCCATATAATGGACTTCAATGGGGACCAAACGGTTCAAGGTCCAAATGAGTTTCAGTGCAGCTTCAAAGGGCTTTAAACGACACCAGACGATGAATAAGGGTCTTATCTAGCGAAACGATCAGCCTTTTAAAAAATAAATAAAAAGTTTTAAGTTTTATAAGCACAAATGCTCGCCTTGCTCTGCTCTGTGATGAGCGTTCGTGACTCTCCTGTTCAAACTCGTTCATCAAAATGAACAAATCTTTTTTCAAGTCATGACTCGAAGGGTCCTAGATAAGACCCTTATTCATCGTCTGGTGTCGTTTAAAGCCCTTTGAAGCTGCAATGAAACTCTCATTTGGACCTTGAACCGTTTGGTTCCCATTGAAGTCCATTATATGGAGAAAATCCTGGAATGTTTTCATCAAAGACCTTAATTTCTTTTCGACTGAAGAAAGAAAGACATGGACATCTTGGATGACATGGGGGTGAGTAAATTATCAGCAGAAGTTATTTTTAAAAGTGAACTACACCTTTAAAGTTTGGCACATGTTGTTGTTGTTGTTGTTGTTTATTCAAATTGTTGTTCGTTTTTTTTTTTTTTTTTCTCAGGAGGACATCTGTAAGAATTACCATGGCATCCGGTTAAAACCGGACCACTTCTCCTCCTTCCTGACCGCCGATGTGGGCTTCTCCAGCTATGAGCTCATCGGAACGCCACAAAATTACTCTAGAGGTCAGAGCTTTGAAATGCCTTGCAATTCGGACCTATGATATTGTGCTGTATATGTTAATATTTATTCATTTTCTTTCCTCTAGGCTTTCAGAGACCAATCTACCTTTTTCACAAAGGACCCTCACCTCAAAAGTGACACCACCTGTTTGACGGCCAACTTTGACTTTGAAATCCACCAATTTGAAGATTTTGAAAACAACCAGCATTTGAAATCAATTGAACTTTAAGCATTTTCTTTGAAATTGAGATGAGACTTTCAATATTTTGAACTCATTGGTGCTGAATAAGATTTTATTTTCTCATTAAATCTCACAATTCCACCCGAATTCCTAGAATTTTAGCCACATATCAGTTTTTCCCTTTTCAAACAAGATGATCACTCGTAAAGGACGATGAATGCGAAGAAGCACAAAGTTAAATTAAATCAAATCCTGTTAAACGCCATTTGTTTTTCATTTGAAATGAAATTCCCAAAAGGGTAAATTCTTGATTAAACTGTCTACACAACTGGCAAAAGACCATCTAAGAATTGCTTTCTTTTTTTTTCTCAAAAGGAAAGAAGCATGTTACAAATGTTCAGTTTTCAGATTTTTCTCTATTGTTGTTGCCGTCATGTAGTTATTTTTCTTTTAGTTTTGGTTATTATCATAGGACGCTTTTGACATCTGTCTCTCTTCAGCCGTTTTACAGACAGACATGTCTGCCACTTAGAAACAAAAGCCAATAGTTCAATTTTATAACAGGATTTCGTCCTTGAAAGTTTTGAAGCTGCAGGTTAGCTGATTTGCTATGACAAAGTGTTTACTGATCCAATGTCTCTTAATAAAAAGTTCTGTGTTCTGATTCTTCAACTGTTAAAAGTTTAACAAACTGATGTACATTTTGTAAATTGTTTGTCCAGAGTTCTTGTCACCACTGAGGTAACCTTGTTGTTGTTGGTTTTATTCATATTTAAAAGTTTGCACTAAAACGAGAGAACAAATTTGTCTCCCACATTTGTATTTTGTTGTGCAAATGTAAAGTTGGTGTATCTCTGAGAAGGGTCCTTTTAGTTCCAAGGACTCGACGAAATTGAAAAATAAACTACAAAATAACATGTATTTGTAATGCTGGGCTGTGCTTTTTTTTATGTATTCAAGACTTAAACATGTTTTCCTAGTTGATTATTCTGGAAATTTGCGTTTAAAATTCAAAAGCTTTAAAATTGTACGAGATAAAATGGCGCAATATGTCAAAACTACTTGTGGAAGAAGACTACTTCGACTAGTGGCCTGATGTTATCTGTAATTGGTCAACTTCTATTATCTCAATAATAATTTGAAGTGCTTATTGTGTAGTTGGTAATTTTTATTTAATGTTCATTAAAGCATCAATGTTTATTTATTCAGGTGTAATTAAATAATCGGCAGTTGAAGCACTGCAGGAGCAGCGATGGATTTGGTACGTGATTTCTGCTACTTTTCTCAGCGCTGGGTAACCAGAACCAACAGTCGTTTATTATTACGAGATGCGGTTTATTTTTCATCAATTCATTTGGTAAAGATTCTTTGGAGGATACCATTTGTATATCAGATCCGAAAAAATGATTAATACAAATTATACAAATGTGCACTGCAATGACAAAATGTCCTGAATGCGGATCGATGGAGAATATCTTGAACTTATGTGTCATAGGTAAAAGTTTAATTTGCTGCCTGATGATTCAAGGATTGCATACTGAGCGATCACATTTCACAATAGTGTGCGGTGCGGTTGCTGTCCCTGTATGTAATATTTCTGAAAATAGTCAAATTACAAATCTGTTCCACTGAAACGACCACAAGAGGGAGCAATTTGACAAAAAAAGCGAGGTGTTAGTGTAAGAAGATGAGGGAATGCCTTTATCTGGCCATTTTACATATTACAATATTGTATCACATTCATACGGAGGCGTATTGCATTCACTTGAAGAAAAAAAATGTACTCTGTTTTTCTGAATTAACAAGTTAATTTTTCATGAGAAAAAAATTAGCTCTGTTTTTCTGAATTAATGAGTTAATTTTTCATGAGAAAAAAAGTTTTTGCTCTGTTTTTCTGAATCAATGAGTTAATTTTTCATGAGAAAAAAAAATTTGCTCTGTTTTTTTGAATTAATGAGTTAATTTTTCATAAGAAAATTTATTTTTGCTGTTTTTCTAAATTAACTCCTTAATTAAAAAAACAGAGCAAAAAAAATCCATTAAAAATTAACTCATTAATTCAGAAAAACAGAGCAAAATTTTTTTTTGTCATGAAAAATTAACTCATTAATTCAGAGAAACAGAGCAAAAAAAATTTTCTCATGAAAAATTAACTCGTTAATTCAGAAAAACAGAGCAAAATTTTTTTTCTCAAGAAAAATTAACTCATTAATTCAGAAAAACAGAGCAATTTTTTTTCTCATGAAAAATTAACTCGTTAATTCAGAAAAACAGAGTAGATTTTTTTTCTTCAAGTGAATGCAATACGCCTCCGTACATTCATGATTGTAACATTAATGTCTAAAATTTAAATTGCAAATGTAACCAATTTGAACATAATGCTTAAGAGGCATGCATTTAGCCTACACTCTCAGAAAAAAAGGTACAAAAGCTGTCACTGAGGCTGTATCTTTTCAAAAGGTGAACTTTTGTCCATTTTAGGTACTAATGTGTACATTTTAGGTGCTAATATGTCCATTTCAGGAGCTAATATGTCAATTTCAGGTGCTATTAAGTACATTTTAGGTGGTAATATATACATTTTAGGAACAAATATACATTTTAGGTGCTAACATGTCCATTTTATGTGCTAATAATGTACATTTTAGGTGCTAATATGTCCATTTTATGTGCGAATATGTACATTTCAGGTGCTAATATGTACATTTCAGTTGCTAATATGTACATTTTAGGTGCTAATATGTACCACTAAGGTACCAATATGCAGCCTTTGGGTACAAAAGTGTACCTTTTGAAAAGGCACAGCCCCAGTGACAGCTTTTCCTGAGAGTGTATAGTAAAAGGGTTTTGTGTAAATCTGTTGATCAGCTTCCGCTACAGCAAATGTGTGAACACACATTTCTGACTGCAGATATGTATGTGCTAAATATTAATGCCCCCAACACGTGTTTGAGCTTGTATGTATGTGAAAGTCATTTTGTGATGACAAGCTGCTATGGGCAACTCTCCTTTTATGGAAAACCTCATATAATAAAACTCATATTAGAATTAATGTCACTGTTCCTCTCTCTCCCTCACACACACACACACACACACACACCAGTGCATGCTTACAACCACATGCACAATAAAGCAAAACAGTATGCGCACATCGTCCATGCATTTCAACAGACAGACACACACATGCACTTATGCAACACAGTGAAGGTGTGAAGATGTAAACAGGTCAATCCATTCAAAGGCCAAACAATAAAAGCATGCTTTATTAAAAGCAATTATTTCTGTTAACAACATCCAAAGAAAGCATGCACGCTCTCCCTCCTCGCACAGTGCCAGTTTTCTACAGTATTCTTTTCCATACACACATTTTACATTGTGCGTGCCTGCAACATGCATGGAAGTCATGGCAGCTCTGCACACACACTATTCCACTTCTGTAACTCAAGTGGCATGTGCTGCATGCATGGCAGAGACAGATGGTTTGGTTTACACACTGTTCAAACACTTCACACAATGATTCTCTTTGTCAAATGTGTGCATCATCGACAACAGCGTCATTGGCACACCATTGCAATGGTTAATTACGACATGGTTAATTTAAGAAAACGGTTGCATCCGAAATCGCATAGTCTCTTGAGTAGGTACTTATTTTGAATAAGTAGCTAATTACTTATAGCTGTTAGTGTTATATATAGTATGAGTCTGTGTATGCAGTATGAATGTAGTCTGTGTATTGTCATTATCATGTGACCTATAACAAAGTCAGTTCACTGTCATTCACAGGGAGTGCAGGGTCTCTTTTTACTGTTTTTCGCCTAAAATATAGTGGAAAGTGTGTGATTCTTTTGCCCATTGGCCCACATCAGCAGGGGGCGCTGATGAGCTGAAAACACTGAACTTTTCATTCTTCTTTCATTCATTTTTCTTTAGAAATGTTCTTTAATACAGAATGTGTTATCATATGATAGTTTCACTGTTATTTTAAACTATCAACTGCCTATTGACAATAAACAATGCTGCTTGTTGACAGAAAGCTATAGCTGAAAAAAAGATGCAAACCAGCCAGCTTGAAACAGTTAATTTATTCAAAATAAACAAACCGACTAACCAACCCCAACCAAGAGGATTTAACAAAAGGAAAAGAATCCTAATGCATGATGGGAAAATGCATACAGATGTTATAGTTAAAAAAATAAGACAATTTGTTGCATACGTGCTTAAGACCATTTTGTTCTGATATCATTTTGATGCTATTATAGTTTTTATTTTGATTTACAGTAGTTTTATTTTTATATATTTTTTGTAATTTTCTTGTGTTTTTAAAATATGCAAATAGTTTTTATTTAAAAAGAAAATAGGCCAATTTGTTGTGTGAACACGAAAATATTTATTCCAGTTCCTCATAAAACAAATATCATTGTGTTGTGATATTATTAAAGTTTCTATTTATTCTATTAATTTTAATTAAATTTGTTGTAAATATGAAAATAGCTTTTTTTATTTTAATTAAGCATAACAAATGTCTAATAATGGTAAATATTGTTCAATGATAGCTTCGATTGTCATTACACTAGAAATGGAAGTTGCAGTCATTGAATTTTAGGCAATGCTATTTTAGTACCTTTGTGATACTAGTTTTTATATTAATATTTTGATTTTCTTTTTTATTATGCTGGTATTTTTTAAATGGATATATATAATTTTTATTTTAGTTTTTGTTTGAATTATTTTAGTACTTCAAGTTGCAGGCGTGCACACGTTTACCGTTGCATACTGTTTCGCATACTACCTTTTTAAGAACGCAGTACGCTTGTCTTCCAAGGAACGCCCACTGATTTCACTGCGCTTAAAAAGCAACGGCCACGTGACAACAACCCGGCTATTTACACAGCAACCACTCTGCAGCGTTGTCAAGGCAACGCCATGACAACCTCGTTATCTTTTAGCCTGAACTCCAGTTTTCTTGAACTAAATTACATTTATTGCTTTTCTCGTTTTCCCTAACTCTATTATTTTCTTTCTACACACACACATTTTCGCCTCCCCTTCCATCTTTTTACGTCCCCTCCCTCCGTGCGCGCGCGCGCTCCCTCTCTCTCTCTCCACATCTTCATCTTCTACCGCTTCAGTCTGACTCCGTTCCCTCTTTCTTTTCTCCCCCTCTTCGTCACCTCTCGTATCTGTACTCATCCTCCCCTGCCCACCTCCTTTCATCATCAGCTCGTATCCTCTCTTCCATCTAGTCTTTTTTTTGTCTCACCCCTCATCGATACGAACGCGCGTCCTTTCCTCGTTTGCTAAATCCCGAAGCCTCTCTCTCTCACTCTTTCTCTCTCTCCGTCCCACCCCCTTCCTCTTTACGTTCCCCCCTCCCTCCATACTCTATTTTCCTCAATGCTGAAGTCAGTCAAAAGAGATACGCTGAAGAAAAGCGGGGCGAACGGCGGGCGCTGAGAGAGAGAACGAGAGAAGGAGAGAAGCTGGAGGGAGAGAGGGGAGAGGGGGGAACGGGGGTTTGGATACATCTCCACCTGTCTTCTTCTCTCTGCCATGGACTGCCTCTGCATAGTGACCACAAAGGTAAGCCAATTCATTCCGTCACGACCAGAACGACACCAGAAGCTGGGATATGTGGTGTGCGCGCGCGAAGTTTATAGCGGTATTATTCGGTGGTTCTCCTATGGGAGTGTTCCGTTCCCAGCGATATTCATGGATTCAGCACTTCTTTTGTCTAATCTTCCGCTCTCACTTTCTCTCTCGTATTTTGAAATCAAATTCCTGCCTGTTTTCTAATAAGAGCATCGTGTATATTTGCGTTCCCTCTCTTGCCTCACAACGGTTTTTTTTTTTTGCGCGCGCATGGACGCGTTCAAAAAAAAAAAAAAAAAAAAAAAAAAAAACTGGAGGCAACGCAACGGAGACGCGTTTTGTAAAAGTTCAACTTATTTTCTACCTGACTCAGTGAAAATAAAAAATAAAAACCCAGCAAGACGACACTAAACTGTGTGTGTATAACAATTGAACAATAGCGCAGCGCAACGCAAGAACGCGTCTAGTGTTGAAACTGCAGTGTCAGAAATTAACTATATATTTTTTCCCCTTTAGTGTTTAGTGTCTTAGTCTAATATACAGACACTTAAATTCTGTTGAATCAAACAAATTAAATAAATTCTCAGTCTGAACACTTCTGATGGTTCAAATGAACATCAAATAATATAATAGCTGCAAAAGTTCTGTGTACTGCCTACTTGCACTGTAGATTTTAATGGCTCGGTGTTTTAAAGAGACATTTCACCCCAAATTACTCAAGCTCATGTATATTTCCAAACCCGTTCAACTTTCGTTCATCTTCAGAACACAAATGAAGATGTTTTTGCTTTGTCCCTCCATTGACAAAGACGTAACTACCACTTTAACACTTAAAAACGTTTATAAAGAGATCGTAAAACTAATCCATATGAATTAAGAGATTTTTTCCAAAATTTTCTGAAGAGACTCGATCGCTTTATATGACGAACGGATTTAATTTAGGCTTTTGAGAAGCTCAACCGAACCTGCTTGACGCACGAGAACGAACCTCATCTCACACGTCCAGCGAACATGCTTGAGCTTCCGTTTACCACAACTGCGTGAATAAGATGTATGCGAATAAAAGCCTAAATTCAATCTCTCTTCAGAAAATTCGTACTAAACCGCTCAATTCATATGGATTATTTTATAGGGTCAAAGTGGTAGTTGCGTATCTGTCAATGGAGGCTCAGATTTCATCAAAAACATCTTCATTTGTGTTCTCAAGATGAAAGTCTTACAGGTTTGGAACGACATGAGGGGGCGAGTACATTTTATTTTTGGGTGATCTATCCCTTTAAGTTTTGGAATAATTGGGATTATTGTCTAACTACAGCACTTACTTCAGAAACATTTGACAGCAACAAGGCACAAGAACAGTTCAGACCCAAGCACGCTCACACACTCACACACACATTAAATATCTGGGGCATTTTTGTCAATTTCACTGTCATTTTGGCCTGTAGCCCTGGTTAATTTCTGACCCTGCTGTGGCGCTTCAGACGTGTGATGCTGTCCGTGAGGAGGAGGAAAAGGAAACGAGAATAAAGTGAGAGCGATCTGTTAAATTATAGACAGGGAAGGACATATACATGTGTGGGAGACAGAGAACGAGAAGGAAAGCTTTCATTAATAAATGCTCACATGTGATTTGTCATGGAACTGCAGTTAGTGTATGGAGCTGAGACACGTCCCACTGCTCCTGACGGCATGTGCCCGTTTGCCCATGTCGTGTTCCTGGCAGAACACTTCCAATGCTTTATGTAACGCTGGCTGGTGCTTTTCTCTCCCAAGCTGGAGTCTGTTCTATCACTTCCTCTCTCTCTCATTGTCTTCAGATGGACTCCCACCTTGCATGCTCCTCCTAAACACTATATGACCTCAGTCCCAACAGACCTACTGTATGAGTGAGTCAGAAAGGTACGGAGAGAAAGAGAGAGAGTTGAAGAGAGAAATTAGCGCAGTGCCTGCTTTTGTGTGGGTTGAGATGGAAATGGTGCACTGGTCTTTGGATGTGCTGTTATTAAAGACCATATACAGTGATTTCAGTAAGGATTCCAGTTCTGTGAGACTTTTACTTTTATGCCTTATAGGGGATACATGTTTCATTTTTAGGGCTGTCAAACGATTAATCGCGATCAATCGCATCCAAAATAAAAGTTTGTGTTTACATAATATATGTGGGTGCACTGTGAATAATTATATTATATAGGCTATATAAATACACACACATGCTTGTATATATTTAATAAATATTTTCATGTATACACTGTATATAGATATACAGTCTATATAATTTATGTTAAATATTTTATATAAATAATATATTTTTCTTAAATATACATGCACGTGTGTGTATTTATATATATACAAAATAATTCTATATTATGCACACCCACATATATTATGTAAACACAAACTTTTATTTTGGATGCGATTAATCGCGATTAATCGCTTTTAATTTTTTCGTTTCTTTTTACATAGTCGACTAAAATAAGGTAAAATGTAGTACTTCATTTTGAAATGTTGGGAAACTTTCTATTCTATAGAGAAAAAATGTAGAGGGGGAAATTTAAGGCCCGTCCACAGTTCACACATAGGATGATAATAACTGTAACTATAACGTTATATAAATATATAGTTCTAAAAAATCGCTCTGAAGTAAAATAATAGCATTGTTCATTATCATAACGGCACAGAAAAACAATGGGATCTTTTTCAGAACCATTTTTCCAGCTTATTAATAATTAAAACATTGAAAGCCAATCAGGATCCATCCTGCTTTAATTTGAATTGAGCATTTAAAGAGGCAGACGACAAAACTGCAGAATAAACAGATCGGCAGACGCTAATATAGTAGTATTATAGTTATCGTTCTTGAAGAGAAATAGCCAAAAGAGTCATTTGACATCAAGTAAATATATATAGCTGCACACATATATCTATAAAACAAATGTAGAGCTTGCAGGTGAAACTCGAAAAACTCGAATATCGTGCAAAAGTTCATTTATTTCAGCAATTCAACTTAAAAGGTGAAACTAATATATTATAGAGTAGACTCATTACATGCAAAGTTAAGATAATTTATGTCATTTTGATGATTATGGCTTAAAGCTTATGAAAACCCCAAATTCAAAATTAGATTAGAATATTGTGGTTTAAGGTTTTCATAAGCTGTAAGCCATAATCATCAAAATTATAACAAAGGCTTGAAATATCTCACTTTGCATGTAATGAGTTGAATTAATGAAATAAATGAACTTTTGCACGGTATTCTAATTTTTCGAGTTTCACCTGTATAATTTGGTGTGGGAAGAGTTCATAAATAGACTATATCTGTGAAAATCTTAGGACAGTTTGAGAAATTGTTGAGAGATTTTCTAAAACTCTAATTGTGACTTTACCGATTTCTGTAAAGAATTTCTTTTCTCTTCTGGACATTCTAAATTCTATATTTGCATTTCCATTCAATCGAATTGCTGTCACGACTGCATTAGATTTCGACTGGGAAAAACACGACTGCATTAGATTTTAGGATGTCCAGAAAGTTTACTCCTGATTCACATTTTTCCCAAAAATAGATTCTGGACACCAAAATGATGTTCTTGCCTCAACCGTAGCCTTTCAAACATCTAGTATTAATATTTAAATGAATGGTTCATATTCATAACCAGCATACATTTTAATGAGCATTAAGTCCACAGAATTCAATACGCTTTGTTTATTATGCTGCTTACAATTAAATCATTTTGCACTGTAGCCAAACAGTTCATTTAAAGCACTTAGCACCTAGCAAGTACTTTATATATGTATATGTACTAACTGGATATGCTGATTATTCCCTCTTGAAGTTTTCTTAATTAACATTCTCTTACTTAAATTAACAACTTAACCCAGTAGTTTTTTTTTAATCACTGTTTCTTTGTTTTTCTTAATTAAATGGATTGTTCTGAAAATTCTGTCATCAGCAGAAGAAAAAATTCATAGATGTTTGGAACAACTTGTCTTGAGGATGAATAAATGATGATTTTTGGGTGAACTATCCCTTTAATGGATGGTCGCAGTGCTCTTTTAGATCCGCCCCCTTATTCTGTATTTGTTATTAGCACACTGCTAAGCCAAACTAATCAATAGACACAAGGTATAGCTTTTCTTCTTTAAATCTTAAAAATACGTTTGAAAAAACTTTGTACTTGCTGATAATATAATATTAATGAAATTAAAGACCACTTAAGTGTACTTATAGAAAGTAAACTTTCTTAATGCACTTTTAAAAAGCAATAATGTCAAATAAAAAGTTTTACTTTAAAATAATCATTTTTGAATCATTTTATTTTCATGCTTTAAATAAGGGTTATTTGACATTTCAAGTTACATATTTTAAATGTGCAACATCATTACAAATGTAAAATGTTTGAAAGGTGTCATTATATATGCCATTTCTATTGAAAATTGTGTCATGTATTTAAATATATCCTATTAATTAAATGAGATGCATGACACAAGTTTCAATTGAGATATAATTAAGTCCAGATCAAAAAACACTCTTAAAGGAGTAGTTCACTTTAAAAAAAACTTTTGCTGATAATTTACTCACCACCATGTCATCCAAGATGTCCAAGTCGAAAAGAAATTAAGGTTTTTGATGAAAACATTCCAGCATTTTTCTCCATATTATGGACTTCAATGGGAACCAAACGGTTCAAGGTCGAAAAGACAGTTTTTTAGTAAAAACTGCAAACTGTTCAAAGGGCTTTAAACGACACCAGACGATGAATAAGGGTCTTATCAAGCGAAACAATCGCTTATTTAATAAATAAACAACAAAAATTAAGTTTTATAAGCTCAAATGCTCGCCTTGCTCTGTACTGTGATGCGCATTACTGACTCTCCTGTCTCAAAATGAACAAATCTTTTTTCGTGTCATTTGGTTCATTCAATGAATGAAATGAACGAATTGACTCGGGAAAAGATTCGTTCATTATGATGAACGAGTTCGAACAGGACACAGA